TAGACCCTAAACCCCAAAACTCCTAAACCCCCAAGCCCCTAAACCCGGGAAAGCTCGAAGAAGAGGGCTCCTGGATACCATCTTTGGTCGGCTCCACCGACAACCGCTCCGAAGAGGCCCTGCTGTTAGCTTCCGAGTTCACGCGTTTAGGGTTTTAGGGTTTAGGGTTTAGGGGTTAGGGGTTTGGGTTTAGGGTTGATGGGGGTTTAGGGTCCGCACAAAGTTGAAGTTCCTTATAAGTGTATTAAGTTTCCGGTGTTTTTTTGTTATGTCGAAGTGTTCGGTGTTTCAAGATGGCGAAGTGTCCGGTGTTTCAAGAATTCGGGGTTTGAGGGGTTAGCGTTGCGGGGCGTTCGGGTTTTCTCACTGCTGCAGGATGAAAATGCGACGATGGACGTAAATTTCTTCAGCGGGTTCCGATTAAAGGACTAGGATAGAGGGTTTAGGGCTTATAGGGTTTATGGTTTATGGGGCTTAGGGTTTGGGGTTTATAGGGTTGAGGATTTAACGGTTTAGGGGCCTCTAAGCAGAAGAAGCTGCAGCCCTTGCGGTTTTCACAAGGTCGCTGCAGGTCGCACAAGCAAGTATCGAACAATGCGCACACCCTCTTGGTGAGAGTAACTGATATACGGGTCTGAATATTTCGTAGTGAATCTACTACCCTCCTGCAGCAACTATGCGGTGATATTGTACTTTGGCTCAGGGTTTGAGTGCTGCCGACGGTGTCATAGACGGTTTAGCTGTATCAACTCTGCCGAAGCCAACACTGCACGAGGCACAGACGGTCCCAATCTAATGCAGCATCTAGTTGAAGCACATGTCGAAGCGTAAAGCCCGTAACGTAAACTGAAGCGGCGATTGAAGCCGTAACTCCAAAACACGAAGCTCTATAACTCCTCATCAACAACGCAGGGGTCGGACAAGTAGTAACTATTATAGAGATATTCCCTGACAGCCCAAAACCTAAACCACATCATGTTGGCCCCTCTTTGTTCCATCCCTCCAGGATTACGACAAAGGGAACCTGGAGAACACCCTGGCATCCACCAGGATTTACGAGAGTTTCTGCCAGAATTAAATCAGAGTTTAGGGCTTTGGGGTCAGGGTTAGGGGTTTAGGATTTAGGGTTTAGGGTTTAGGGCCAGCGTAAGCGGTTTGGGAGTTAGGGTTTAGGGTTTAGTGCCCGGTATGGGGTTCAGGGTTTAGGGTTTAGGGCCAGGGTAAGGGGTTTAGGGTTTGGAGTATTTAGAAGTTGAGAGGTTTAGGGTTTATATGCACATTGGCCATAATGCACGCATGCACACATACATACATTAAACTTCTATACATATATGTAGACAGCGAAAGTGAGAAAGAGTGAGCCAAGATCTCGAAGTCGTAGGCCGTAAACCGATATCCGAAGCTATTGAACACCCTACCTCCAACCCTAAGCTGGGACTCTACGCCTCGCAAGCCTCGTAAGCCTGAATAATGTAGGGCCGCCCTAAATAATTACTAATATTCTATTTATTTATTTATTTGTTTTTTGGGGGGCGGTCCTTGTTATAATTATCGTATAATGGGCCCCCAAACCCTATTCTATAGTATTAAGGGCCCTATATTAGCCACTTCAAAGCGTACAGCACTACGTAGTCATGGCACGTGGAGGACATCCTGGTCGTGCATGCTGCGGTATGTGGGTCACCCAGCGCCGTTTCGGGGTTTCGGGTTCTTCTGCAGAGCACTGCCTGCTTTTGCAGGGTTTAGGGTTTAGGGTTTAGGGGGGAGTCTATGGCTTTGGGGGCCTGGTGATTGGGGGGCCCTGTCGGGTCGGATCGTGTTTGGATATACTCCATCGGAAGATCCTCACGATATCTTTCACCACATATCATTTCATTCGTCCTTTCGTGAGCGAGCTGCGAAACCCCAATGCATGATTAATGTACTACGAACTTTCAATCCCCAAACCTTCTCGAACATATCAAGCGGTCCTTTCTCCGTAGAGTCCGCTCAACCCTAAACACTATAGGAACAGGAAGCCTGACACTCTTCTGTAGGCCCAGACCTCCATCGTGGAGCGTCTCGAGCAGCGTCTATGTGCCCTGGGTGGCCGGCAAATGGAAACGCCTGGGCCTTAGCTGTTTGTGGTTTGGGGCGGCAGATTTTCGCTGTTTGTTTTGTGTGTGTCGTTCTTAGGGCTTTTGGTCTAACAGGCTGAGGGGTTCTTGTTTTGGCGCACAGGGCTCAGAGGTGGGGGGGTTGGGATTCAACATATTCTTGTGGAGGTCACGTCTCAGCTCGGGGCTTCATGCTCAAAACAGGGGGCTTCCGCAAGTCCAGTAGGTTTAGGCAGTAGATAGGTGTTAGTGCAGCCTTTGGGCGTGTCGTCTGGTAGACGCGCATGCATCACCGCTACGTACTTACGACGACCATAACAACAACCACGACAACGACGACAACAACAACAACAACAACAACAACAGCAGTAGCAACATCAACAGCAACCGCAACCGCCACTGCAACCACAACAGCAACGGCAACGGCAGCACACCTCCACTCGTGCACCGATTTCTGCTCCCGCTCCTGCTCCTACAGCCACTGCTCCAAGGACGCTCGTAGCACCACGGCGGCTATCTAAGGTTGGAACCATGGCCCCCCAGCATGGGCCCTGAACTCCCTTAACCTTGGGATCATTATATACGGCCTACGATATACCCTTTTTGTACCCTTGAGGGTCCCCAGAA